CCCCCTTGGAACCCCCGATGTAACGGGATTTTTATCGTAACAAACTCAATGAAGCGTGCACTTTGCACCACCAAACTTCGTTGATGATTATTAGGATACCATTGGTCGTAATTTTTCCAATTACACTAAAATATATAAAATGAAATGCAGACGGTTGTAATTTCTATAGAAGAAAGTGAATTGATATGGACCATATATTAGTTTCCTTAAAAAGAAAGTAGAACAAAATTGTAGAACAACCTAAATAAAAAAAGAAGGAAGATAATTATGAGACAAAGAGAATATATGTCAAACTGCTCAACCGAACACATATAAAACAAACAACCTAATATTCATTATGATATTTTTAGACAACGCACAGTTTCAAAAAATACGTTAACTTCATTTTCTTCGCTCCAACATTCTGGATTTGTAGTCACGTGTTTTTTCCCGTTTTTATCCCTATTTCTCTTTGGACAATTCATTTCAAATGATCTTTTTCATCGCAACAATAAAAACCATATTTTTCTACTACTCGATTTGGAGCTTTGGGACATATCCCCTTTCATTTTATCGTTCCTATTCCCAACTAGTCACTTTTGATACCAAAACTTAATCTTTATTTAAATTTTTGATTTTTTTTTTAAATCCGCATGGAATATAGTAACTAAGTGGAGGTGGACAAAAAACATTAAATTAACATAGTACTATATACGAGCGTAATGATATTGAGTTGTTAATCATATTTGCAAACATGATTGTTTTTTATTCTGAATCGATTTCAAACGTGATGTGACTCAGATATCAAAATTTAGTTAAAGCCTATCCAATTATCACGAACCAAATTGTTTGAGGTTAACTATGAAGTATCAAAAGTATTTATTTGTGTACTTTACCTTATCATATACAGAACATAATACTCCACGGTAGAGTCTTTTTCTTTTAATATTCCTTAACTAGTTTTATTCTTATTTTTTTGAAACAAAATTGCAGGTAAATTAATTCAAGGCCAAATGTTCATACAATACAATGTTCTGTTCGAAACATTGTCGATTCTTAGTCTCTTTAAATGTCTCTTCTTTCCACCCCAGCACTTCGTGCTTCCATTCCAAAACACCGGCCGACAACAGTACTGTTTTGTGGAGAGGGGCATGGGTGCTAGGGTGAGGGAAAGGGGTTGGAGAAGGGGTTAGAGGAAGTATAAATTTTCGACTTTTTACAGCCTTGATTATTGGTTTTCTTATATTATATTCCATCTATTTCATATTAAGTGTCCATCATGGTATTTTAGATATATTTAAAAATGAATGAATGTAAATATTAAATATATTTACATTCATTATTTTTTAATGTATATAGAAAGCTATAATGGATACTTTCTCTGTTCCGTACGTCTGATCTAATTGAATCTGATCTGAATTTTTGAAGTTCTGATCTGATCTGATTGGGTCTAATGTGATGTGATTAGATCTGATTAGATCTGATTGGATCTGATCTGATCTGACCTGATCGGGTCTGATCTGATCTGATTGGATCTGATCTGATCTGATTGAATCTGATCTGATTGGATCTGATCTGACTAGATCTGGTGTAAATGAATTTAAATTTGATTTAAAATAAACTTAAAATTATTACAAAATTTAATAGTTTTAAAGTATTACAATTCATATATACATAAAAAAGTAAAATAAAAAAATCAGCAAATCATTAATATCTTTAAAATTTTTTAAAATATTAAACATCTTTTCAATATCACAACTTTTTTAATTTTTGTGAAAACTAAATAATCGGTATTTAAATAAACAAATATTAGAAAATATTGATGCTATTCTACAAAAATATCACATTGTATATGCATATTACATAATACTGGTAATATATTTCATGTTACAAATTAAAGATCATATAAAATTTTAAAGACTAATATCACTTTCACCTCTATCAATTTTGTCATAAATTCAACCTTGTGTATATTATACCATCTTAAAGTTTAAAAGTAAGTCTTTTTAAGTATAAAATATTTATAGTTTTGAAAACTAAGTTTTGTATAATTATTTTCTAAACAAGTATTTTAAAATAAATCTTTTTAAAGTATGAAAAATATTACGGAGTATTTGCATTCGGTTAAAAAAAACATTGCTTCCATGCATCATTTCTATCCTACAAGCTAAACAATTATTTAAAATAATGGTTTGTAGTTGAAATATAATAATAATAATATTAATAATATTAATAATAATATTAATATTAAAAAAATAATATTTAAAGTCATAACATTAATTAAGATTTAAGTGTGTGTAGTTTTAAATAAAGTAATGTGATTTAATCAAATAATAGTAATTATTATTTAATCGTTGAATCAAAAGTAATTATTATCTTTTATATTTTTTCTTGATTTGATATTATTGGATATGATCTGGTCTGATCTGATTAGATCTGGTCAGATCTGATTGGATCTGATCTGATTTGATTGGATCTGATCTGATTGGATCTGATCTGATCTGATTGAGTCTGATCTGATCTAATTGAGTCTGATCTGATCTGATTGAGTCTGATATGATCTGATTGGATCTGATCTGATCTGATTAGGTCTGATCTGATCTGATTTTAATAAGAATAAGTAATAAGTAGAAAAAATAAGTCCTGCGGAACGGACCCTTAATATAAAGAAATATTTGCACTAAATAACACTAAAACTGAAGTCATTTCCCTAAATAGCACTTAAACTGTTTTATTCCCTAAATAGCACTTAATAATGTCCAGTGATGAAGAATATTTACTTAATTAATGACTAATGGATAATGACTAAAAGTGCTACATTGGGAAAAAACACATGTAATGCTATTTAGAGAAAGTCAATGTGTTTTAGTGTTATTTACGTAAATTCCCTAATATAAAATGAAGGAAATACTTATTAGTAGTTCTAATATTGTATTATTAGAAAAAAACTCTTTGTTTTTCATGTGGATTCATTATTTGTTGTTTGTATTTATGATATTTGAATATGTACTTGTTTTTTAAAGAAAGTTATGCTTTTATTTCAATATTTGAATTCTGAATGTTTGATTTTCTACAATAATTTAACATGGTATGGTATTGCATCAATTGATTTTGAGATTTATCATGTACCAATGTCGTACCATTTTAATAATCTCGATTCGTGATAAGTTTTGATAGTATGACAGCCGTCACGAATATACAACTCCTCTAAGAGGGTGTTTTGCAATGCGGTGCTTTTTAGAATTTAGCTTCTACTTTAAGTGGTAATTATTTAATTTTATTTGGCATTCAAACTTCCGCTTTTCTTTACTATCAATGTGTACATTATATTGAATACCATTTCGGAGAAGCAAATATTTGCTGCTCTGCTTTCAACTTTTGTGAAAAATATTTTACCCACAAGTTAATCACTTTCTAATACCTTCTAAGAGCACTAATAATACACGTAACACACCAGGGGCTTTTTTCCGATTTTTAACACTTGTGGCGTTAAATACCGCCCCCATCCGCGTTACTTCAAGTGTGTCAAAGGTTTAACACACGAAAAAGGCATGGCCCCCTTCCAACGGCTCTTTTAGCTTTTAAACAAAAAACTTCTATAAATTCAATACTTCATATTTTTTTAAAAATCAAACACACACATCTCTCAATCTCTCTCTCTCTCTTCTTCAAATAAAAAAATCTTTAAATATCTTTGCTCCGTGTTAACATGAATCCATTCGATTTTAATGTTTCTTCGTCCGGTCATGAGCCAAACGAGGAAGCGATGTAGATTTTCAATCATATGCCGGTAATCCGTCGATGTATGATACCCAAACCACGGTGAATCTCCAAGACTTGGAGTCGGTTCTAGAGATTTAACCGGAACCAAGTGCACCAAAAAAAGTGTACGCCGAAAGAGTCACAAATCGAAGGGCGACAAGTTGATGACCGAGGCAGCACGGTCCATTCAAAAGTGGACCCCGGAGGAAGAATTGTTGATGGCGTCCGCTTGGGTTGATGTCTCCGCGCATCCTATCGTTGCTAAATTTTATTTATTTTTAATATATATTGTATATATGTAATTTTTTATATGTTTGTATTAATTTTTTTTCCTTCAAATATATATTTTGTAGAGGTTGCAAGCAAACAAAGAATGCAATGTGGGATCGTATCAATGAGAAGTTATTTGCGGCGATGAACAAGGACGCCTCTGACCGAACCCGTGACCAACTCACTTCCAAATAGGGCCACATCAACCTTAAAGTTCAAAAATTTATTGGATTTTACGAGGAATTCTCTCAGTCCCAGAAGAACGGGACGAACGATGCCAATGTTCTGCGGCAAACCACCATCCGCTATCAAGATGATGGATACCAAGGCAAGGTATCCGTCGATCTTTAGAGAACTTTAAGTCATTCACCAAAATGGAAACAACTCAACAAGCCCGAGCCCAGATCGTCAAAGAAAAGATCCCCTGCCGAGGTTGAGGCCGATGAGACTATCGGCTCTTCAGAACAAAGGCCTCCCTTCAACGTCGAAGACTCCGAAAACGAGAACCCTATTCCACCGCCGATCAGAAGGAAGAAGGCAAAATCTATTGCCTCAGGTTCTGGAGGATCCGGCTCTGTTTCCTCTCACGACGAAATCGTCCGGGCAATGGATGAATATTTGCGAGTGTTCAATATTAGGGAAGAAGAGAGGGAGAAGCGAAGAAAGAGATCGATTAAATGCTATTTTTTTATTGATTGTAAGGTTTTAATTTAATACATTATTGTCATTTGAATTTAATTAAAATGAAGTTTTATTTAATTTAATTTTACAAGATGTGTATTAAAAATATAAAAAAGTAAAAGTTTGAAACTTCGGGGCTTCAAGCTCATTTTCCGTAAAATTGTGACATAAGTTAAAACTGACGTGAGAGAAATTTTGAAACCCCGGTTTAAATCTAGGACATAATTACCATTTGCTCTACCAAATGGGTCTCTTTCTTTTAAGTACACGTGTAGATGAATCTGTCACTTACTGACAGTAATGCTAGTCAGATTCCAGTTTCTACCCTTCAGAGTCCCTAATTTCATTTTTGGGGTTATCCGTTATCATTTACCAAAACCCCTCATCCACACCAATCAGTCCCGACCTTGCGCTTTCCCTTGTCATGGCCGGAAGGAAGAGACGGCGCTTGAGATCGTGAGTTTTTCTCTTTTTTTCCGTCAAATTATTCATTTTACGTCTTGATTTTACATGTTTTCTGGCAATTATCTGGTTCGGATTTTCGTTAGAATGTTTAAGGATTTACTGATTTGTTGTTGGATTGCAAGTTTTGGCTCAGATCAATCTTAATTCGGGCATATTGGTTTTAAGAATGTAATTTAGCCATGAAATTTGAATACTTTGCAGCTATTTATCGTTCATTTTCTGTAAATACAAAAAAAGGGTTCAATCTTGGGGTTTCACCTTCGATTTTACTTTTCACGCATTCATGTTTTGTTTCTAATTACGGAGTACTTATTAAAATTCAAGATTTGTGATGTGAATTGAATTGTGCTCAATTTCGTCTATATATTTATGCATTTGTGGTTCTCTGAAGCTCCATTTACATATTTGATCAGCAAAGTCAAATGAGCTTGTTTGGATTTTCCTTTTTCATTGTCAAATGTCACTCGGGGTTATTCTTTGAATTGAAAACTCAAAACTGTGGTTTCATTTCTAACTACATACTAGAATCCACAATGCGCTTCATTTCCCTAGTGTTTTTTTCCTCTTCTGAGCTAATTAAGTGTCAGGATTGGCATTTTTAGATTAGTGGAGGCAGCCACCGTGGAAAGAGCAGGAGTTGGGGGAGTTCACGAGAATGAACACTCTTTGCAACACGTGGGGTTTGAACTTCCAAGAGAGCTTCTGGAAATAATTATCGGTCACTTGAACTTGGCGGATAACGTCCGTGCTTCTGCTGTTTGCAAACTATGGCATTCTGTGGCCCACTCTGTCCGGGTTTCCAACAGACCCCCTTGGCTTATGTTTCTCCCAAAGTTTGGTGACTTGGTAGAATTCTATGACCCTTCATTGCGCAAAACTTATGCTGTTGAGTTGCCTGAGTTGCGTTCCTCAAGGCTTTGCTACACCAAGGAGGGATGGTTGCTACTGTACAAGCCCAGAACACAACATGTTCTTTTCTTCAATCCTTACTCTCGACAGTTAATCAGCTTACCCAAATTAGATATGGCATATCAAATTGTTGCATTCTCTGCTGCTCCTACGTCTCCCAAGTGCATTGTATTTACTGTTAAGCATATCAGTCCCACTTTGGTTGCTATTAGCACCTGTTTCCCTGGAGCAACTGAATGGACAACCGAGCATTACCAGAACCGCCTGCCGTTTGTGAGCAGTATATGGAATAAATTGGTTTTCTGCAACGGTCTGTTCTATTGTCTGAGTTTGACAGGATGGCTAGGGGTTTATAACCCAGATGAGCATTCTTGGGTTGTTCGAGTTGTTCCTCCGCCGAGATGCCCGGAGAATTTCTTTGTCAAGAACTGGTGGAAGGGGAAATTCATGGCTGAACATGATGGGGACATTTATGTCATATATACTTGCTCTAGTGCCAACCCGGTGATATACAAGTTAGACCAAGTTAATAGAGTGTGGGTAGGGGTGCAAACACTTAATGGTTTGACACTGTTTGCAAGTTTCTTGTCATCCCAAGCAAGGTCAGATATCCTTGGGTTGATGCGGAATAGCGTTTACTTCTCTAAAGTTCGTTTCTATGGGCGGCGATGCATATCGTTCTCTCTGGACCACGACAGGTACTATCCCCGAAAACAGTGCCATGATTGGGGGGAACAAGATCCATTTGAGAGCATCTGGATTGAACCACCCGAAGACCTTTCAGCCTTTGATTGAGCAACTTGTTGGCACAGGTAATGACGTTACGGTTATTATGCAAAGTTCTTGTTTGTGCATTCTTTTGATCTTTTGTTTCTACTATTGCTCGGTATTGTTCATTCATTAGTAGTCTTAGCATGTTTCATACATGTAAGTTACAGAGCAACCTGTGTGTATTTTATATCATAATCACACAATGGTCTATGTATTAGTGCAATTCTCCTGTCCCGAACCAAAATATTTAGTAAATTTGTTTGCACGTGCACATGCTATTAGTGAGTGCATGTAACATATACTCAATTCTCCTGAAAGGACTGTTTGAGGTGCAACCTTTGAATTTTGGCAATGTACAACAATTAATGGAGCTAAGAAGAGTCATAATGACATGTTTTTTTTAGCTTTTTGTAATAATGGACCTAATTAAAATGACACATTAAACTTTCCTTGCTTCTTACTTTACGTGCGGTAAATGCAACAATGCATCAAGGGTCTAACGGAAATAGCCTCTCTGTTTCTCTTTGTTTTCTCTAGCGCTATGTTTGGTTCAAGGAATTTGGAAGGAAAAGAATACAAAATGATATTCTCTCATTTTCCTCACCAAAATGGGAGGAATTTGGTTTTCCCTCCACTTAGTACATTTGCCTTCTCATTTTCTTTCCTTTCCACTTTTCCTTTCTTTTCCTCTCTAACCAAACAAGAAAAACTATTTTCTACTTCATTTTCTTTTCTTTTCCCTTTCAAATTCCTTTAACCAAACATAGGGTAGGTGTAAGATTGTGTGCATCTTGACCCCACCCCTCCCCCAGATACCTCAACAGTGTTGGGATAATACTGGGGTTGTTGTTGTTGTTGTACAACCCAATCATGAATCTCACATATAATTTAGATTTATTTGTTGGTTGAACAATATTGATCATAGAGTATTTAACTTGCTTGTAACTCATTTCTGGTGAATTACCAGAAATTTTAGCTTCAGCTGCTTCATTGGATGAAATAAAACTTTACTGGGATAAAACAAGCTTTTGAAATATGAAACGTTTTTGGACCGAGGGAGTAATACCTCAAAACCTTCTTGGCATGATTGTGTCAAAATGCAAATGATTATTAATGAAGTTTAATAAACTCTTAAATCGTACTATAGATGATATACTTTATTAATGGAAGCTTTAGTGGATTGAAGGAGGCAAGTTAGACACACTTGCAAATGAACCCTTGGTTGAAAAGTCCTCTGAGCCATGGATCATCATCATCAGTAGCATCTGAATCCCAACTAGCTATGGTTGGTGTAAGTATAGTACAGCTATCCTATAAACCACTATAGAATGATCAAATCACAGAGGAACACCTTGGGTCTATATATACAATCCCGTAGCTTCCTCTATTGAAATATCAGATAGTATACTCTCTCTACTCTGTTTGTACTAATCATCTCTGTCTTACACTTAATAGTATGAAGTAAAATCCATTCCATTGAGAATTATATTCGTCTGCAGGTACAGACGTATTTATGTGATGCTTGATAATTATGAAGGGCTTTCTTTTCCACATGCATTTCTACGTCAACATTCCACACTCAAGGACTTTGCATTCTCACGGAAATCAAACAGGAAAGCGGAGATGTAATTGGCATGAATGAAGGTGTTCTTGAGATATTTAATGCAGCGAAGAACATGGGCTTGAAACCTTGTTGCAGGTCTGTACTCTGATTTGGTTTGCCATTTTAAGCTTGCCTCTTGCAACCAGCACGTACAGGTAATATATTCTTCTTATAGCTTTAAAACTTGTACCGTGTTAATGCACTCTTCTTGAGCTTCTTCTTCTTCTTCTTCTTCTCTTATATTTCATGGACTTCTGATTAATAAGAAATTTGATATATTTTCTCCTGTTAATATGTTAAATTCCTTTCTATTGTCAAATCCCGCAATCCGAATCCTTTACGAACTTGTAATATGTAGTGTCTTACAGTTGTGATTGTCATAATGTTTTATGATTCTCTCTTTAAGAGTGTTTGCTTATTTCTTCCTTACTAATCCTTATCATTATGTGGTGTTCACCTCGAAAATCATGTGGCTTTCCTGTTTTTCTTTCTCAGGCGATTTAAATAAAATATGAAATTGTCTTTAAATGGGAAGATGAATAATATTATTAACCACACAATTCTTTATTAAAAAGAAATGAGAACTTTATTTTCTGTCGTTCCACAAATGAAAGTGAAACTTATTTTGGGAAAGTACTACATATGATCTTCGTCCCCTTTTGTTTTGGCACAAATACCAAGACAAAGGGTAAAAAAGTCGCACATGCGGACATGCCCAATATATGATCTTCGAATCTCACAAAAACCAAACCCTTCAACTTCATCGCCCCTTCCCAATCATGCACACTCTCGCTTCTTGAAACGGAGGTATCGTCCCACCCTTGCTCCGCTGCCATCCCATCCCATCGTTGTAGGAACTTGATAGATCTATTTCCTTGGAATTGGCATATTGTGATAGAGTATAAGCCTCGTTTGGTATACGGAATTCAAACTATGGAATTGGAATTGAGGACTTCAATTCCAATTCTGATGTTTGGTAGCACAAAAATTATGTGGATTTGGAACTGATATTGCAAAAAATGAATTGGGATTGGCAAAATTCAATTATATGGAATTGAATCCCATGGAATTTCAATTCCAATTCCATTAATTCCGTATACCAAACGGACCCATAGTGAGTAATTAGATAAAAGTTGTTAGGGTTATTGAGGTTGTTAATAGGTTGTTAATATGCTGTTGCATGTCTTGACTCTTGAGTTGTGAATTGTAATCCTCATCAAGAAATACAATCCAATTCTTTCCAAATCTATATCTCTTTCTATTTCTCTCCCTCTCTCTTTAACTCTTGGTTTCATCAAGAATTACAATCCAATTCCTCCCAAGTCTATCTCTCTTTCTATTTCTCCCTCCATCTCTCTTGAACTCTTGGTTTCATCATCTTCTCTGACACAGAAACTTGAATTTTGTTCGTCTCTTATAGCAATGCATATCTTGTGATAACATATTGGCAAGATTGATGGATTAGGGAAGAGGACGAGGGCGCTCATTGGATCTTACCGATGAATATTGCAATGACCTAGCATAGCATCAAACGAACCATTTCGTGTTGAAGGTGATATATCTCAGTCGAGTCCTTAATTACCGGTGTAGAATGATGGAATCAAAATGACCCATGGCTTTTTTCATTGGATTTGTTGTTAGGTAGCTAAGCATATGTGGGGGACAAGATCCACTCAAAAGGATGAACCTTCGCCCGGACAATATACTTGAGAGGAGATAAATGAAGCTTTAATCTCAAGTGAGCAATGAATGAGATATGTCACCAATCCCAACAAAGGATATCTATGTAGAGCACAAATTACTTCATACTTGTCTTCGGTAGGGGTCAAACCCAACTATTATGCCATTTCACACTCCCTATTGACCACTTATGCAATGTTCGCTGAATGGATGAGATCTTATCGAAGTGTCAATGGTAAAGGAGAAAAGGTTAGAGAACATTTAAGTAGAGGGTAGAATTGTCAATAAGGGCATTGGAGCAATACTAAAAAAGGGAAGTGGAATAATATCTTCGTTCCAGTGTATTTATTCAGTTTGACTTTTTCGAGTCAAACTAGACAGAATTTGAGCTTCAAATATGAAATATTCTTGATTCTATTACATATTTGTACAATGCAATAAAATTTTGAAATTTTTTTAAAAGATAAATCTAATAAAATCATTTTTACAATTTACATTTAATGGAAGCTAAAAATTCATTTTGTTTGACTTGAAAAAATTAAAATGGACAAACATTGCGGAAGTAGTTGGATGGTAAAAGAAATGGACAAAAACGCTGGCACAATTGGAGTATAACATAACTTGTTGGAAGGATATTTGCTTTTTTTAAAGGCAATTTGCGGTAAATATTAGGGAGAAAGACCAAGGAATAAAACATTAAAAATATATACCAAAATAGGATTTTCATGTGTTTTATTTCCGAAATAGGACTTACATTACCAAATAAGTACAGTAACATGCACATGTATCGTGCCACATTACCACAGTGCAAAGTTCTATTTTGGAAAAAAAAATGAAAATCATATCTTGATAGTTTTATCAATATTTTAGTTCTATTTAGGATGATTTCTATAAATATTAACCTCAATTTTTACGATTCTTTGAAGTAACAAATACTCCGTATGAAGTAAATCACTCAACTTGGGGAGTACTTTGTTTAGGCCGTGTTTGGTTATCAGCATTACGCTGTGCAAAATTCATGCTAAGCAAGTAAGCATTATTCAGAGGAAAAAAAGAGGCTTAAAAGATGAGCATTTTGCTTTAACAAATTCTGATTTATAGACAAAAATGTTGTCTCAAATACTGATTGTATCTCACCCTTTTTCAGAAATTGCTAATGCAGTTGCTTGCCAAACAGACCCTTAGTTGGCTTTTGAATCCCAAAACATTACTTCGTCTCTTTGTCAACTTTGACCAGGCACAAGATTTAAGAAAATAAACATTGAGTGGTTTGAATTTATCTTAGATAAATTCAGTGAATTACAAATTGCTTTCATTAAAAATGAAAAAAAAATCTAGTGTATAGAGACAAAAAAGTAATTTCTGAAAAGAATTGCAACTGAGCTTTCTTTAGCAGTTTAGCTAGTTAAAACTTCGTGCTTTCACATTCCAAAGTTTTTTCCATAGAACACATCCAAACAATTAAATTAATTACTCTACCAAAGATTTCAAAATAGTGTTTTGCTCCACTAGATTCATACCCGTGCGTTGCACGGAAAAACATTCTAAAATAGTTATTGCAAAATATTTGAGTTATTAATGTTTGAATATAAATATGAATATATATATATATTAATGTTTGAATATAAATATATTTATATTTATATTCAAACATTATATATTTATATTTATATTCAAACATTAATATATATTCATATTTATATTCAAACATTAATAACTCAAATATTTTGCAATAACTATTTTAGAATGTTTTTTCGTGCAACGCACGGGTATGAATCTAGTTTACATAAACTTCAAATAACTCTAGTGTAAAAATTCATGCTTCAAAGGATTATGCTTGAATCTATGATGGAAATTGGAAAATGCTTGAGAATTTTATACTATTAGGTAGAGAACAAATCCTTTATCATGGCAGACTCGCTATCTTCTGGTTAATCTAAATCATCATGACATAATTTACAATTAGCTTCAAATCTCACGTGATAAAAGTGAAAATTTTTAAATCTCAGAGACAAATCATAATAAATGATTTTTTTGTTGAATTTTAGTTTTCAAGTGTTAAATAGCGTGATTTTTGTTGGCAATTAAAAAACAAAAATGAAACCTCTAGACGACTTTTATTACTTACTATTGTTAGAAAAGAAACGACAAAGGAGATGAAAGTTACGACAAAGGTCAAATAACTCTAGTGTTCTTTTTCTCGTGATTTAAAAAATTGGCAATTGGCATTGACCCTTTATTTTATACTCCGTAAATATATTTCTTAAGTCATTGTGATTTCAAAATATTGCACCCACACCCCCTCTAATTATTTTCCAGTCATTTTCTGGGGAAGAGGGGTCGTTTATTGTTTAGTTTTTATTTTCCTTTTTTTTAATCTCTTTTTTTAACTATTTGTTTCCTTTTCCTAGAAGATTTTTTTAATTTTCTTTTCAATTTTTTATAATGTTTTAAATAAGTTCCAAATTCTTTGGGTTTAAAATAAAAAAATTAACATATACTCCATCAATCTCAAATTAAGTATTTTTGTTTTTTTTTTGTTTTTTAGAATAATTTTTTGGTAAGTTCAAAAGGAAAGTCTATAATAAAAAAATAAAAATATGAAAAAACGAAGTGAAAAAAATCGTAACATGAAAAAAAGAGTCTTATGTTATTTTTAATTTTTTATATTATTCATTTTATTTTTTATGTTATTTCTTTTTTTTTGAATTTCTCAAAATTGTTTAATTTTTTATTTTGGAAAATAAAAAATTAATTTCACGGATGCAGTATATGTTATCTTTTTTGCTAGCAAAATAGTTTTAAATTTTAAGAAAATTATAAATACTAAAAGGAATTTAAAACCTTGATTAATAAAAGAAAGAAATAAAGGGAAAAGGTGGAAAAAATAAGCGAAAAAAAAGAAATGATAACCAAGTGTCCCCTTTGATTTTGAAAATAAGCACCAAGTCCCTCCTCTTCTTCTAAAAAATGGCCAAAAAGTGATCATAAGGGGTATGGATGCATCATATTAAACCATGAAGGGTTTTGAAATAAATTTTGAAAACAAAAAGAGTATTAGTGTCTATTTTTCAAACCACATGAGTATTGGAGCTTGTTTGGAAATAACGTTAGAGATTAGCGTTAACGTTTTGGATAAAATTTTAACAGTTCAGATTACTTTGAAAACGCTAACGCTAAACGTTGGCCGTAGATAGGGCCTATTTGGGAATAGCGTTAGCGTTTTGAAAAAGCTATCTACGGGCAGCGTTTAGTGTTAGCGTTTTTAAAGTAATCTGCACCGTTAAAATTTTATCCAAAACGCTAACGCTAATCTCTAACGCTATTCCCAAACAGACCCATAGCCTTTTCAAAACGCTAATGCTAATCTCTAACATTATTTCCAAACAGGCCCTTGGTGGATTTGGCTTTTAAATAAATTTAAATAATTTGAAAATAATGATGCAACGAAACTAACTGATTATTTATAGATAGGAATTTAAATAGATTGTTAGAAATTAATGCATTTTTGGTTCATGTCTAATTATCTATCCGTATTCCATGCTCCATTGCATCTCTTCAAATTTTAGTATTTTCCCTATTTACACCATACTGTTCGGCTAAGAGCAATGCTAGGTTCACAAACAAGATGCTCACAAAATTCACAAACTTAATATTTATGGTTTAAATTTTCATTTTAAAATTATTTTAGACTATTTAATTTTTTTTGTTGGAGTTTACAAATAGTAAGTTTGTGAATTTTGTGAGCATTCTGTTTGTGAACCAAGCATTTCCCGTTCGGCTAAAATTGTGCTTTTTCTATTTGCAAATTACTAATTCTAATTCACTGTATTTATTATCATATACAGTTAATAAATGCAGGCAGCTAATTACGCATTTTGCAATAACAATCAATGAAAAAAATTGAAAAATGTTAAGGGTATGTCAATAAAAATACCCCAAATATGCACCGCACAAGTGTGGGAAAAAAAAAATAAAAAATGAATAAAAATGGGGACGGAAGGAACTGAAGAGCCAGCTTGCACAAATTCCTGTTTGATTTATTTAATGCAAGGTGTTTAGAGTTTAATATACGGAGTACTTAAGTCGAAAAGTTCTTTTCATTTGTTACTATCCCTTTTTTTTGTTTTTCTTTTTTTTTTCCTCCTCAATTCTTTTGCTTTTGTATATAGTATAGATTTGTAAATATGATTTAGGTTGAGCCAAAAGACAAGATAAATTAAGTATTGTTCTTACCAGAGTTGTGCTTAATTAATTACCTACTTTTTTGGGTCTTCAGTCTTGAACGATTATTGTTCGTCTTCGAGGTTCTTGGAACTTGATTAAGCTTGAAATTATCATCAAACATTAACTTATATACCACTAATGAAATACATACAATATATACGAAATACTCCAACACACTTTTCTTAATTATCTCATTCGTGTTGATATATTGATATCCAATAAATTTTTATTATCTCATTCGTGTTGGTGGGCTTTGCACAGTTGGCAAGACAAGAAATGTCGAGAGGGTAATGCTTGAATTCGATTTCTATTAGAAAATCGTTTGGAGGATAGACGTTGCGAAACATAGTTTACAGAAGATGAACGAAAAAACAGATCAATTATGACTTGATAGTTTAACGAATCACGTAAACACTTCCAGATCAAAGTTATTTTGGAGTATACCAAAATACTTTAATAGTGTAAGACGTTAATCAAGAACAACACTTCGAATTTCGTTACTCAACCATACCCCGCGAGACTTTTTTTTATAGAGTTGAAAACTTGACGATCAGACATGAACATTCGCGTAAGAAAGCGAACGCTCGTGCGTCAGGGACAAAACCAAATTTTGCTCAAGGACCCAATTCAAGTGTTCACGCGGATTTACTTTTGATTTTTGTGTCGATTTTGACATTTATCCGTACGTCCAAATCTTTAAGGTTTTGGACTCAGTTCACGAAAATCTAAAAGATTTTCATAAAGCCCCTTGGACCCTGCTATGAATTTGTAATATCGCTGGACGAGTGTGCACTACGCTCTTCCTAACTCGTTAGACGACGTCTATTCAAATTCTTGTCTGATCTAAGTAAACCCAATCACACAAAAATAACCAATGAGACTAAAATCACTAATAATTTACCCCTCACATTTTTTGTCAAAACATGAAGCGCAAGTAGATCGGTTATTACATTTTTTTTATAATTTTATTTGCATGTCCTCTTCTATATTAGAAGTTATAATATAATGGCACAAAAAATTAGTGGTATTGTGGCAGTATAAAAGAATTCTACATAATAAACACCATGAATGTCAAA